ATTGAATTTCATTTTTAATAAAGTAATTACTTGTCTTCAAAGTAATACCATATTTTTATATTTATCACTATTTAATATTATTTGATATGGTGTTTCATTAGGGGAACTTCTGAAAGAAAAATGTACTAATTAACCCTTGAAACATTAAAAATGCCTTATATTTTTTAACACATAATTTTTTAAAAATATTTTATATTTTTTAATAAAATTACTATATGATTAAAATGGAAACAAATGAGCTTCTTTTTTCTTTGGACACAAAAGTCATCTTTTTGTATATTCTTCTCTTTATTTTTCATTCACAAGTCATCATTTGATTTTTCCGTCATGATAACTTTGCATGTGTACGTGTAAATCCTTTTTTACGTCCAAAATTAAATATTTTTTCATTAATGTACATTATCGTAAATTCAATATTCTATTATTCATGTCAACATATTTTAATTATGTTATCTCTTTTTAAAATAATAAAGATTACTTATTTATTTTCATGAAAGTTCAGGGATTGGATTGAGATTAAAATTAACTTTTATAGATCGATAATTGAAGAAAATTTGAGAAATCACATATGTGATTATTCCTATAATATATATATATATATATTTTACAAAGTTAAAGTTAATAAACGCAAGGAATATAGCCCAAAAAAAAAAAGCATCACCTACCAATAATAATACCAGTGATTGGAAAGTAAGTTATGCAGTATTTATTACACCAGACATTGAAAGGGACGGAAGGTGGGGTGGCAATGAAACAGTTCATTATTATTATTAAAATGGCTAATAAATCGACAAAGAAGAGATCCTAACAATGCTGTGACGAAACAAAATTCTTGAGCATCTTTACATGCGCTCAAAGCTTTTTTATTCAAACATAACTTGTTTGTCTTCTTCCATAATTTTAATGGCTGAAATGAAATCATTTTGCTGATATTTTCTTTGCTAGCTAGCAAACAAATAGTCATGTGTAGATAAATTATTTAGGCAGATTATGTTCCTCTGTGTGTGTGTGTGTATTCCACTTTTTTTCTAAATTATGTTATTATGACACTGCCCTAAAAATTTGTGCTGTTAGGACACTAATCTCATGGTTATGCTTATTTCTAGTGTCAATTATCTAATATTGGTATAAGTACGATCAATTAATTAAAATTCAAGTATCATTCAACCTCACAGATAAAAGTAGCTTTCTCAAAAATAATTTCAATTTATTTATTTATAAGACCTGAACTTAAGAGATTATCAAAACGCTATCAAATTCTTTTTTTTTTTCGGTTATTTCTTCTTCCTTTTGAAAAGTTCGAATGGTCTTTAAATCCTACACTTAATAACATTAAGAAACATGCGTCTGAAGACAGAGGTCTGAATCACACTGTTTTTCAAAAGGAGAAAAAAGGAAGTAAAAAACGATAAAGCGAAAAAGCAGAAAGCACGAAGGATGCGTATTAAACATTTTTAGTGGTTCTCATGGCTTCCACTGTTCATGACCTTTGATGTAACTACCGTCTGGAGGTTTTCCTGATTAAGTGTTTAAATTTAGCCTTTGGAGCAAAAGGTCCTGGGAAGGCCGTCTTGATGAAGGACATCCTTAACTTATTAGTTATTACAATCTGAAATGACTACCAACTTTAATATTCTATGCAGAATAGAGAAATTTAATGTAACTTAAGCGACCACTACACGTACAAATTAAGTTCAAATTTTTCGAGGCTTTATTATACTCTCCTGTTTAAAACATATAACATTTTTAATTATTTTTTCATTCTAAACTACTCTTTCAGTCTTTTTACAAGTCATTTCTACCAATCTCATTAATATCAATGCAAAAAAAAAATATAAGGAATAAAAATATATAAAATTTCAAATATGTCCCTTCATAATAAATTCAAAAAATGATATCATGTCATTTTTTCTCTCTTATGAAGAGTAACTTTAAAAATCTTTTCAATATTACTTAAAAAGCTGTATGATGACTTATAAATGGGATCAATAAACCTTCTAAAACTTTCTTTATAAATGGGACTAAAGAGAGTATAAGATATTTTTTAAAATATTCAATCTAAAATATAAGATACTTTGACAAAAATAAAATTTTATTAATAATACTTTTTTTAATATTACCGTTTTTATTATATACTTTCTCTTTAATATTCTTTTTATAAATAGAGTGTTAAAATTAAGGGGACTTTTAAAAATTTATATTTTTTTGAAAAAATAAAGTTGTAAAGTATATTTATAATGAGTTTTATTGATATATGTTGTTTTGCTTAAAAGTATCTTTTAATTTGGAACAAGATCTACTTCATAAGCATTAAGAAAAATGGTTTTAAAGATGTTTGTCTTATTAAAATGAAAAAAAAATCATATGTACTTTCCAAGAGTAGCATCTAATTATAATAAATCTATTTTCATTACCTTTATTCTGTGTTTGGATTAATGAGGATTTAAATTTGGCATTTAAATGCATAAAAATCTTTTGATTTGGATTTGATGACCCAAATTCATTTTTTTGTTATAATTTTTATAATTTCAAATTTTCTATGCACTCTAATTATTTAAAATTCTAATTACTTTGACTATCACCGATTAAAGAATAGATAAACTCATTGCTTTCAATATTTTATTTTTATTTCAAATCTTAGCTTGTCTCTCTCTTCTTCCTTTAAAATATTTTACACACTATCCAAACAAAGAAAGAATTTTAAATACATGAATTCTAAATTAATATGAGATTTTAAATCTAAAATCCAAATCCATCCATATTTCAAATGCTGCCTTAATTTCTTTCTTATATAATGTCTCTCTACTATTGTGAAAAAAATAATTTAATATTATAGATTTATTTTTTTTTTTAACAAAATGTCTTGCATTTTGAACAAACACTAATCGGTAGAAATGTGTTATATTTTGGACTGGATAGAGTAGAATCTAAAAGGAGGGTATTGCATTATTCATACCTTGTGAACAGCTTATACAATAGTGTTGCTAAGAAATTAATTAGATATACTTTCAGTTTAAGTTTGAGGAGTATACGTCGATAAATAATGACTAAAGTACATATCTTATCTCTTTTGAAATTTGAAGTTTTGTGGAAATACTTATTTGAAATTCACTTCACATGATTTTTTCCTCCAAAATTTTTAATTTATGCAAATAGCTCTTACATTGTTATTATTTCGTATGATATTCAACTGGAAAGGTTTAGTCATACCTATTATAAAATTTAGTGATCTATCTATCCGTAACTCAAAATTTAAGAAAATTATTGGTATACAAAAAAGAAAATTTTGTACAAAAATAATGGATTTCTTATTCAATTTTAATAGTTTAAGGGTAAACCTTGTATTAATCAAGTTATAAAAATTTAAAAAAAAGGTCGTCTAAATCCAAGTTCTTGAAGATATTTTGTGCAATTTATATCTTTATTTAATTTTCAAAAAATTAATATATATCCCTTTAGTCCTATTTATAAATTACTTCTAATATGGTTCACTAGAATCAAAGAAAATTTTAAAACTTATTAACTTTATTTAAAATTTTTTAACTTTACCCCTATTAAATATATAAATTTTAACAATATATTTTCTCTTTTCAATATTTAATGGAGTGTAAAAAAAATTTATGATAAAAATTAATAATATGATTTATAAATAAAATAAAAAAATTATTTACTCTCTGTTTTGTAAATAAAATTGGAGAGAGCATATATATATATAACACTATACTCCCTCCGTTCAAAAATGTAAGGTATTTTTAATCGAATCTCACCCTTCAATAAAGTAGTTGCCTACTTTTCAACTAATCTTAGCTTTCTATATTTATCTCTATTAAATACCTTACAATAAATATAAAATTATTATCAATAGAGGTACTTTTGAAAAAAGGAAAAAATTATATCTTAAAAAATTAAAAATATTTTATATTTTTTAAATATTTAAAGTATTTTTTAATAGAGAGAGTATTATTTACCGTGACATTCATGAAGACATAAAATTTCGCCCCACTAGTCCGCTGCGGAGTTGCAGGTCACTGAGGATTGTGTGGTCACTCTCATATTTTTATTTTAAAGTAATTGTCACTGTATTATCAATCTGTACAGATTTGGAAATGCAGCCAAAACACTTTCATCCTCGAAACCCTACCCATCACGCATTCACATCGCTACATAACTATAGTAGCTTTCTAAACGGCTTCACATCCTATCAGTGTTTTAGGCAGAGAAAATAAATAAAAATATATGCACCCCATACGCACATTATTAAGTATTTAAATCAGAGAAAATACAAATACTGTTTCCTATAGTTTTAACATGTTCTGATATAGGTCTCCATAATTTTTTCATTATTTACAGTCCCTCTAATTTATCATGTATGCAATATTAGTCTCTTTATTTTTTAATATGTCCAAAAAAGATGATGAAGTGATACTAACAATATTAAATATGTTAACCTATGAGCTGTAACTAACACCGTACGTAAATCTATGACGAACAGAGTTATAGTTCACCAAATTAACAGTATTATCCACCTTGTGCTATTTTAGGTTTTAGGTTTCAATCTGTTGAAGTAAAATTCCACTTCAATACAAAGATTAATAACATTAGTCACAAGTCAACATATTTGATATCATTAGTGCTACCTCATTATTCTTTTGGATGTATAAAAAAATAAAGGGACTAATATTGCATAGGAATAAACTAGATCAGGCTTATATCAAAACACGATCAATAATAATGTTTTCCTTTGAAATTACTCGGTATACATGTAACTAAGGAATAATAACTAGTAAATTTTCTGTAATGCCAATACCCAGTTTTCCAATAACAAATCAAAATCGCTTTTTATTTTCTCTGAAGCTACTTTTTCATATCTCATTCTCTTTCTTCATTACCCCGTTGGGTCCCAAAAGAATAGCCTCTTGAAAGCCTTCTTCTACTGCTATGTATTTTCCTATATATACAAGACGACGGACCAAGTTTAACTACTGTACACATGATATATAGCCCGGTATCTGAGGGGTCCTGAAAGAGAATAAACCGTGTAAAGCTACTGCTTTCAGCAAATTGTTTGAGAGCTACTGCAGCTATTAGCTTTCTTCTTCTCTTTATATTGTTCTTTCCTTGTTTTGATCTCAATCATCCATTTCTGTCTCTCTGTCCTCCTCCTTCTCTGCGTTAATTAACAAGGTTTATCAGAGACATGTCGAGCTGCAGCAATATGGACGTTGCTTCTGAGCAACTTTGCTATATCCCCTGCAAATTTTGCAACATTGTTCTTGCGGTATATATTTAATTTCAGATCTGCATGCTTTCTTTCCAGCTCTTGCTGATCCATCTGGTGATGAATCTATCTCCTATTTTTCTGATAATTGATACGTTTTACTTCCAACGCAGTGGTGCTGCTTTCTTAATTTTCCTATTTTGGGGTTTATTTCTCTCCTTTTTTCTCCTCCTAGGAGATCCTGAAAAGTGACCTGGTTTGCTGTTTTGTGAGTGAAATCGCTTAATGTTTCCAATTTCTCTCTTTCTGGGTCTTCTTAATTCCTCGTTTTTCTTACAGTCCGGTCTCAATCAATAGCTGGACTTTTCTTTATATTTACTTTTCTTTTGTAGTCAAAGAAAAGTCATTAAACCTACCTGAAAGCCCTCAAGTGCTCAAACCGAAAGACATACACTCAGAAACTTTCTCTGTCTCAGCTAACAAGGAACCTAAAGTGATCAAGATGGAGTAGCTTGTAGGGTTAATTAATTATTGTTGCTTTTGGTTATATGGCTCTTAATTAGTGTATATGCACTTTAAAACGCCAAAACAAGCATTAGTACTATTGTTGATAGCTGAATTTTTCTTCCCTTTCGAATTCCATTGTTTAATACGGTACTGCACTTTAATGGGCAGTGTTGCTTCAAAGTAGCCTTCCTTGGCTCATGTATATCAGTGAATATGATCTCAGATACTTCAACTTCTTCGTAGTTTAGGGTTTTCTTTCTTATTCCCTAAATTTCTCAAGTAAACAAACCAAGCTGCAGATTAAAACAGCCTCATCTTTTTTTTTTTTTTTTTCAAGTCTCTTCCTTTTTATGATCATGAGATAGATCTGGATCTTTTCTATCTTTTTTTTCCCCCCTTTCTGTTAACTGCTTGACTTGAGTGTTATTTCAAGGATAGATAAATGTTAACACGGGGTAATATATATATATGTGTGTGTGTGTGCAGGTTAGTGTTCCATGCAGTAGTCTTTTTGACATCGTGACCGTCCGATGTGGTCACTGCACCAATCTATGGTCCGTGAACATGGCCGCCGCATTTCAGTCACTGTCATGGCAACAAGTTCAGGTAACTTGAGTTTTCTCATATTACTTTTTGGGGGGCCTGTTTCTGTTACTAATTAATATGTAATAATCACTGTAAATAATAATTGAGCGAAGACATGCGTGTATATATATATATATATAAACATGTTCATTGATGATTTCTGAGTCTGGATCCTATATATCCTTGAGTCTGGATCCTATATATCCTTAGGTTCTTAGGGTTTTCTGGATGTTATTCTTTTGATGAGAAAATAGATGCCTTTTATCAGGCAAGGCAGTTTCTGTTTGTTTGTTTCTGTCGGCTTTAATTAATTATTGAGAAATTCGAAGCATATCTCTGATATTTTAATTAATTATTAATATATTTAAGTGTGGTTAGCTGATAAGGGTACTGAAATGAAAACCCTAGCTGTTAAAGATGTTTATAGCCTTACCTGCAGCCGCCATAAGAAAAACCTATTTTTGCTTTTTTAATGTTTGTTTGCGGTTTATAGTCCCCAGTCAGAGCCTGCCCTAATTCTTGAAGGCGGGTAAAGTAGGTTTAATTTTTCTTTAGCCACTCCATTGTTAAACAATAAATTTTGATTTGATTGGGCAACCATGTTCTTAGGTCTCAAGATCCTCGTTGGAGTATTTATATAAATATATATATTAATACATTTATCATCTGGGTAAACCTCGTTTTACCCAGGTTGTTGTTCAGAACAATAAACAAAAAGGATTTCTTTTTGGATCCCCAAATCGCAGCCCTTTATTTGAACAACTGTCGTCTGGGTTTTATGTACTTCTTACACATCTGATACGTTGCATTCTAGCCTAAAATTACAGTTCTTTAAAGTTGCTTTTGTTTCTTTCTCACCCTCAGAAAACATTTACTATCTTTTCTCGGGCAAAATGTCAATATGTAATATATTAAATAAATGGCAAAGTAAAAAGTCAAATTAATTATAACAGTGCATGATACGATTTAGACCATATAGAGGACACACAAAAATGAGTTGTTATGAAAAACTTAGATAAAATCTATTTCTTTCCTAATATGAAAATCCAAGTAAATCCATCTAATTAGTTGAACAAATAAATTTCTAATCCAGTATTTTTACTGGTTCAGTAAAATATTTTATTTATAATCAGTTTAATCATGGTCATAGTTCAACTAAATTTTTTTAATATTAATCCTTAAACTAGTTCAACAATTGGTCCAATTTTTATTAGAGAAGGTTCATCACTGTCTACTTTCAAAGGATCTAATTTGAACAGAACCTTGAAAAACAGTGTAAACAAAAAGAAAAATATATTACTTGGTTTTGTTTTTTTCCTAATTTTAACGTTTTGATTTTAATAATTTGCAGGCTTCAGGGACATCCAATCCAGAGTATAGAATCGAGACTGACTCATCTTCTATATGCAACAATAGGATTGCAGTGCGAGCTCCCACCACACGTATTGCAACTGAGGAAATGCCTGTGAATAGGCGTGAGTAATTCATTAATTCTTTAGACATTATATTTAAATGCATAATATTTCTTGAGTAATTAATATATTATTATACGTTAACTTCACTTAATTATATCTAACCTGATGAGCTGTTATTATCTTTTACAGCTCCCGAGAAGAGGCAGCGCGTACCTTCTGCGTACAATCAATTCATAAAGTAATATCAGCAGCCAATACAATCTTTTTATTTTAATTATTTCAATTATACATATAATAAAAGCATCTAATCTAATATATGATTGAAAGGTCACTGTTAACATACATGCAGAGAAGAGATTCAGAGGATCAAAGCCAACAACCCAGATATCAGTCACAGGGAAGCATTCAGTACAGCTGCAAAGAATGTAATTTATTCTCTCTCTCTCTCTCTATATATATATATATTATAATGTTTAATGTAATAATTTAATATCTTCTTTTATTTGTTCCTTAATTCCCTTTGAGGTTTCTAATATCTGGATATTATTTTCACTTTTACGTAGTGGGCACATTTCCCTCATATTCATTTCGGCTTGATGCTGGAGGCCAATAATCAAGCTAGGATGGGGAATGTAAGTATTCATGAATTTTCCAACAATTGAAATTTTAAATTTTTAAAACTGTTTGCTGAATGCAAAATTAACTCCAACTCATTTTTATGTTTTCATGTGATTAAACTCACTAACTGGTTTCTTACATTTCTTCCATTATATGCTATTTATTTAAAATATGACATGTGAAGAAAATTATTTTGTAAAACTGAATATAATCTTGTACTGTTGAATTATATTGGAAAAACATCAAAATAATTCGTTTGTTTCTTTAACTTCTTGTAAACAGAATTATAATAGAAATGGGGAAAATTAACATGCATATGCTACCACAGCATCTATAGTTATGCAGTGTAACTGAAACTATATTTTTGTTTATGTTAAAGTACATTTTTTGTTTTTTAATTTTATACAAGGATTCAGTTTGGTCTCTTATTTTTATAAAATATCTTTTTATTTATTTAACCCTAATACCATTAGTTTCAATTGATTAATTTTTATGTCGATCATTGTTATTTTAAAAAATTAAACTTAATATATCAACATTTGATAATATTTTGTCAGCATTTAAAAATTCAATGTAAGAGTTTTTTGTTGATGAAACTAATAAATGGTGTTAGGGTTAAATGATTAAAAAAATATATTATAAAATTAATGGACTAAAATGAAACATTATGTAAAGTTAAAAAAGTAAAGGTATACTTTAGCCTTTTATTTATGTTACAGAGCAAGAGATCAGTGAGTATTTTGCACGGCTTATGAAAATGAACCATATTATTTAAGGTTTTATGAATGTTATAGATTTATATTTCATTTGATGATTGTATAAATATTGAATATTTATTTTATAGGTATAAAATGCAATTGATGTAATTTTTTCCTTTTTTTTTTCCCTGGAACTATATGTGAAGTAATGTGTTCCGGAAATTCGGAGAAGCGTTTGATGTCAAGAGCTGCACCACAGTATGTTTGAACAGACAATGGCTCTAATCTTCATCATTATCTAAATTTTAGTCTGTCAAGCAAACAAACAATATGTTCTAACTTTGGTTGTCATTAAAGAGCAATTAGTTATTTTTCTTCGCCAATGACTTGTAATTTCTTAATTGCTTAGTATTAGTTCAGTGGATGCATAAATTAAAGTAATTAATTATGATGCTTTTTTCCAACCTCAATATTCTCCCAGTTTAATTTCGAGGGCTTGTTTGTTTTTATGTTCTGTTTTTATGTGTTCTTAAAACAATTCTGCATAATAGTTTTTCAGAATAAGTTTTGGAAATAAAAAAAATGAAAAAAATATGTTTGAATCATTATTTTGAAATACATATCTTTTCTTTTTAGCCAAGAAAAACATACTTAAATTGATAAAATAAAGGGTGAAAGAATAATATAATTTATTAACATCACTGTCATTAATGAAAGTATGACATTTTCTAACTTTTTTCTAATTTTGCATAACAAAAGGTAATAAAATGTCTAACAAATGTTCTGGGTTTTTCAATTCTTGAAAACAACTTTTAATTTTTTTTATTTTTCAGAATAGTTAACAAAAAACAGGTTTTTTTTCATTTTTTTTGTTTTTATGACAAAACTATTCTGAAAATAAGTAATCAAATAGGCCCCTAATTGTCCAAAGTTATATATGTGACTATATATAAATGTTGTTTCAGATCGTGAAGTCACCAAATTAAAGTAGATAAAGATAGAATTGAAGGATTATGGGATCAATGTACTCACAGTCACCAGTCATGATTATATTTGGGATTCCTTTCTAATTCATTTTCATACTCTGAATCATTAATATTCCTTGCCATCAAACTCGTACATATAGAGGTACAAGCTTGGTGTGAATAAATAATTTATTCCTTGTGTGTGTATTTTTTGCCTTAAAGGAGAGGGGGAAAAACTACTGAGATAGAAAAAAAATTTACAGGTTCAAATTCAAATCAACAACAATAACAAGTCTTATCCCATAAGGTGAGATAAAATTTGATGTGAGATAGATTAATTATTCAAACTAATATTTGAACTCAAATTAACATGAAATATAAAATTTAATGTGAGATATGTTAATTATTCCAAATAGTTAATGAACATTACACAGCGTTGATCATTACAAAGTTCCATGGCACAGAAAAATACACGAAAATATGTATAATTTGTATAACACACACACGATACAAACAAAATTTAAACTTACTTTTTCTGAACTATAATATAAGTCATTATTAATTAATTTATATTTATAAAAAATTAGTTAAAATCTTGATTTTCTAAAAAATTTTACATTTATCTAATTGTACCATTGAGTAGAAAAAATATAATATTTTAGTTATTCAAAGCACCCTCATTAATTATTTTGGTGGGGTGTATTAAAGTAAGTGCAAAACTAAAAAAATATACAAAATTTACTCAATGTCTTATATTTTTTGACCAAATGAGGTTTATAGAAAACATCATATATTTTAATTTGAGGGAGAATAATTTAAAGGCATTACCTTTTGGTTAAAGGACATTATATATATAAGGGCTAAAAGACAATTTTGTCCTTCAATTATTTGCTAAGAAGTATTTAGTATTCTAAATTTTCATATAATGTAATTTTTCTTATTTTTTAACTTTTAAAAATGGTACATTTTACACTTTATCATTAAAAAAGTTAACTTTAGCTATTAATTGAATATAAAATTATAGGAAAAGACTTAAAACTTACAAGAAAACCAATAAAATTACACATAAGTACTCTTAGGTTTTTTCATACATAATGGACTTTTAGGTTTTTTCATACTTTTTTAGGTTTTTTGGGTAATTTTTTGACTAACTAATAGTTAAATTTAATTTTTTAATAGCAAGTCAATGTACCTTTTTTAAAAAATAATTAAAAAATTACATCATATAAAAATTTAAAATATCAATATTTTTAAACAAAAAGTCAAGAGGAAAAATGTTTTCTAAACCTATATATAACCTGGAGATTTACTAAACATGGAACGGGGTTTTGGATCAATATGGCTGTTTGGTTTGCACGTTACGTAACATTTTGGAATCTTGGAGTGTATGTGGTGCAGGTGCAGCGGTAGAGAGGCTGCGTGCTTCTGACTGAGTTCTGTAGACTGAACAATGAATGGCTGCATCTGACAATTAGAATCTGAAACGTCAAAATCACATCAATTAAGCATTAAATTCTTTTCAATGTCATTTCACCTGTGACTTCCATCGATCACCCACAATTTCATCTTTGCATTGAAGTTAGTGACCATGGACGCACCTTAAAGGAATTATTGTTCTCTTCTCTGTCCTCAAAACTTACATGCAGTGGGACCTACATGCATTAGTGTAGACCATTGTATATGAGAAGTCAGATTTAATCAATTAGTTCAACTTGTGAATTGATAATTCAGTTGTTTTTTCATTTAAGTTTTTACCTAAATCAACCAGTCACTAATTCAACGTGATTCGATTAATTTAGAGTCAATTTGGCTAACTTGATCGAATTGCTAGGTCAGCTAGATCACTTTTTTACTTTTATTTTTTTAAATTTTAAAAACTAAATAAAAAATAAAAAATTTAACTTGAAAATTAAAAAAGTGAGGCAATGGAGGGCGAGGTAATTAAACCAAATTTCACTTTATGTGGTTCGAATTTTGAATAGAGAGCCTTAATTATAAGTTCAAACTTAAAATATTCAATATTCTTCTAAGTTAAATGTGCCTTAATTATTTTAATCTTTCAGTATTTATTATTATTCATTTTCTGATTATTGCATAACATTTAAGAATTATGATTGTCATTATTGATAATTTTAGTGTTAGTGATTATTAGTTTTAGACTTTTTAATGATTAAAAGGTTGTAAATTATAATTATAAAAATAAATATTTAGAAAGTTGTATTTTAATATTATGAATATTTAGAAATTTTTATTTTAATATTATAAATATTTAGAAAGTTGTATTTTAATATTGTTAGACTTTTGGGTGGTTATAATTCTATAATTATTGTTATATTTATATCTTGTATTAGAGATTAATCTTGAATTTTGTTGAATGTTTTCATGATTAATGTCTTTTTATTTAAATTTTATCATTTTAATTATAATTGATTTTCCTTCCGGGTTGACCTCCGGTTCAACCCTGATTAAACCATTAACCCGTAACTCGTTAGCTTGATTGGTTCAATGATTGGCCTAATTTTTAGTACCTTGATGTAGACAATTGCAATTTTATGAGATATATATCAAATAAATATGAATTGAGTTTTAATTACTCTCATTGATATATTAGTTTTAAATTTATTGATCAAGAGAAGAATAAGGGAAGATGAAATAAGGAGACATAAATGATAGTCACCTACATCTTGGTGAGGATGTGGGTTGCAAAATTTGTTAGAAGGAGGAGAAAGTATAATTAGACTTAGAATTTTAGGTTTAAAATATTGTTGGAGCGAAGTTGAGGGTAAGATCATGAAAATTTAGAATAGTTGATAGTGAGGGAGGATTGAGATTTTAGAATAGTTTAAATATTATGAATGATTATTTTTTTATCAAGACTTTTATTTGAAACCATTTAATTCTAATATTTTCAGTAGAATCATTTGTTTTTAAAATTTTTTAATTTTTTACTAAAATCATTTATATGGTTTAAAATAATTTTGATTTTTATGTCTTCAATTTTTTGTTTAATATTTTTAGTGAATCAAGTTGTTAAGGGTTTTATTATTATTGAAATAAATAGTTGGAGTTTGAATCTTTTCTCTTGCTATCACGCCCCAAAAATAGACATGACTAGCATGGGATATATGCACAAACATACATCTCTTAAGCTATGGTCAAGAAAACTTTAATCTAATATTGAATATTTATTTCCAAAACATAATTAGATTTATATTAAAATCTTTTAACACATTTAACAATGTCCAATTATAAGAAACGTTTAAGTATTTTTGTAAAAATTTTGGCAAAACTTCCTCCATAAATAGGACTTCTCAAAAATTTTATAAATACAATATTTCAATTAAAATATCAAATTAATCAAAAGCAAAGCTCCTTCTAGCCAGCAACAAAATATATGACCACATAAATAACCTAACTACAAGCTATGTGGAGTACCTAATAGTAAGTTTATAAAATAAGATTTCATAATTAAAACTTCACATCAAGAGAAAGTTTAATTCTTAGCTTTCCCACTTCTAGTGCATCAATATTCAGGAGGCGGTTCAGCATTAGCTACACTATCTGAGATCAAAATTATTTTCAATGAATAACCTCCCAATAACAAATCATTAAACATGAATAAAAGGAAAGTTAAAAGCAATTATGTAAATTAAAAAACACAATGATCTTCATGAAGATTTAAATAAATTCAAAATAAAAGGATTTTATATAACTTGAAATGAAATTTTGAACCACTAAATTATTATATCAAATATTGTTATCATTTGATTTCAAGGAAGCAAATAAACGAAGTGAGTAATTATAAATAAATTACTAATTAAAAACCAATGGGATATGAAATCATTAAATGATCAAATTCATTTTATAGGGACCTGTAAGAATAATTAACAAACATGAATACATAGTCCACGAGGGCAAGTAACTAGACTCAGTCGAAGCCATGAAACAAATAAGGACACACAGTCCACGAGAATAAGTGCCCAAATGTAGTTAAAGCCACAAAACAAATGTAGGTATGAGACTCATGAACAACAGACATGAGAACAGGGCTCATCAAAATCAAACTAGTTGATCATTAACTATGGCGCCAAGGGCTAACAGAACTGTCATTAGCAACAAGTGTTTTGTATATAGTTTCATTTTAAATTCACTTTCAAATATGCAAGAGAATCATCACTTCAAAGGTCTAATTTCTCTTCTCAATATCAAACTTGCATGAAACATATACAAACATTAATATTTTTCTAAATATGAAAATTCATGACTAATATCTCATAAACAGTTCATCAAATTTCATATTTGGCTTTATCAAATAAAGGACTAATAAAATTTGTAAAATCATTTTTCATCAATCTAAAAAAGTATAAGTCATGATTTCAAGAAATAAACAATTTAATTAGCGAGAATAGCTAAAGAAAAAGAAATATATAAATATCCATAAATTGTTAAAAACAATATTTTGACAAAGAAAATTTTTTAATATATAAATGGATTAGGATGTTATC